AACAGGCGGTTTAAGAGACCCTCTAATCTCATTAGCACTTGGAGCCACTCAAGTGATGGTTTCCCTGCATGCTATTCATCCATCCATCCTCTTCCTGAAAAGACAAGGACCAGCGTAGAGCAGTAGTTGCTGGGCAAGGCAAGGTCCCAGAGTGAAAGCACTCACGGTCTGATCAAACCATCAGAGCTTTTGTACAGAGGTTTCCGCTGGGCATGCGGGAGCACATGCTCACCAGACGAGCTCCCTGCGGCATCACAGCAGCCCATGCTGTGGAGCCAAGTGTAAGGATCAAGAGGAGGGCGCTGGTCCTGGAGGGCAGATTTGTTCTGAAGCATGAGTGGGGCTCAAAAGGATCTCAGGAACCTTCAGGATCATTCACTGCCAATAGCCCAGCAAAAACTTGTGGAATGAGCACAGATGAGATTACCAACTGACAGTAGCAGTGAGGACCGCATCTTGGCAGAGGATCCTCTGCTCCAAGTGGGCAGCCTGAGAGGAATTTATGGACTTCAGTCTGGGCTCGGGTGGATGATGGTCTGTCTTCCAGTGCAGGACCTTGCTGTGATGGGACCAGCCCTCAGCCAGTGATAAAAGTCACAGATGCATCCAGATGAAGGCTCTGAGAGGTGAGCTAGTTCCTGGACTTACTGGCAAACTGTTTACCATGATTCTTCTGCAGCAGTGAAGTTACATAATGGTTTAGTCATATTTTCCTAGAAAGATGTTTCTGGAGAAAAAAAAAACACATTAAGTTTGGTTGGCAAAGGTGATCTTAGTTCTCAATACCGAGCTAAGTTGGTACGTTGGGCCTTCCTTGAGGAAGGCCATCTGCACGCTCCAGCTTCTCTCTGTACCTTCAGGGTTTCTCTACTTCAAAATGTAACCCCTGCCCAGCACACCCAGAGTGGCTCTGACCCTTAAACTCAATAGGCATCTTTAAGGTTACTCCCACCCATGAACAAAGCAGGGCATATTCTAAACAGTTTTAAGAAACTAGATAACCTGGCAATACATGAATAATAATAATAATATGTTCAAATTGGCCTCTTTCAGGAAAATAAGATTTATTTAATTTGAAAAGCACTCTATCCATTCACCATATTCATAGAACAAAGGTGAAAATCCTGCAAACATATCAATATGTGCAGAACAAAACACTTTGTAAGAATGTTTGATAAGGTCTGGGGTTGTGGCTTAGAAATACAGCACATGCCTAGCATGCATGAGGCACCGGGTTCGACCCTCAGCACCACATAAAAATAAAATAAAGATATGGTGTCCACCTATAACTAAAAAATAAATATTAAAAAAGAATGTTTGGTAAAATACCTAGTGATTTTAAAATTACTTACTGATTTTTAACAATCTTCAGCAATTAGGAATATAAGGGAACTTCCCTAATCTGATCAAGGGTGCCTTAAACAATAAACATCATACTTCTCCATGCACCATGACGGTGAGAAGCATGTGCAGTGAGCTGGCAGCCAGCCCTGCTGTCAGGCAGTGTTTTGCCGCTGTGGCCAAAAGAGCTACCAGCTCATCGGAGACTCAAGGCAAACCCATTGATGTTTTCCCCATAAAGATCAAAAGCAAGTTACATATATCCAACATAGAAAGACACAGAATAAACATTTCCATTCCACAGGGGAGGAACAGGGGCATAGAAAGAAGGGATGGGATCAAAGTAAGACTGAAATCCAGCTGGTAAATAAGTCCTACAGTTCTGTGTCCAGCATCTGGAACACATGGTACCATAATACTCCCTCTAAAGGGCTTGTGCAGCTCTGCCCCTAGACCTTGCTGGTTGTAGCCCACATGGCCTCTCTCTTGGTTTGTCTCAGATTGATGCCTGCAGCTTTCCTCAGCAGATGTCCCATAGTATTTCGAGAAAATGGGTTCAGGTCATCCGGTGAGTGGCACTTCAGAAGGAAGAGGGACCTAAAAGTGGGTTTTAACCCTCTCCCAGTCTTCGGCACCAATGAAAGGAAAGTGACCACAACACTCAGAGCGACCAAGAGATCTTTTTGCAGCAGTGCAAGAGAGGAGAAAAGAGAGAGAGAGAGAGACAGAGACAGAGACAGGAGAGCATGCGCGCAAGGGAGACAGATCAAGAGAGAGAGACAGAGCAAGAGAGCAAGAGAGAGAGAGGGGCCCAGCAGGAGGGAGTTTTTAAAGCCCAAATATAATGGGGCCTCTGGGTCTGCAAGCTGCCTAGTTGGCACAAGGGGGGTTGAGTGTTGAGCCTTGAGTGGGGGTTGAATGTTCAGCTTTGACGCAAACAGGTGATAAAGGACCAGACAGAGGGGGGTTTGAGTGCGTGGGCCATCCTGCAGCTAACATTTGTTCAGCCTGCCCTGCAGATAACATAGTTCAGCCTGTTCTGCACCTAACAGTATTGACATTTCTTTTTATTTTTTTAAGCTTTGTTTATTTCATTTTTTATGTGGTGCTAGGTATCAAACCCAGTGCTTCAACCCCTGAGCCACAACCCCAGCCCTGGCATCTCTCAATTATGGGAGAAGCCTCCATGATCCCCTAACTCTAGCACCCTACATTCCTGCAGAACCAGCACCATGTGGTTGACACCATGGTCTGCCACCATCTTGAATAGTAATCATAGCAGAGGAAAGTAGCTCAGAACATGGCAATCAGGAAGCAAAAAGAGCTCTGCATTCCAGGGACAATATATTAACCCCTAGTGACATATCTCCTCCAGCTATACCCTGCCTGCCTACAGTAACCACCCAAAAAATCCACATCAGTGTATTATTCCATTGACCAAATTAAAGATCTCATAATCTCATCATTTCACCTCCAAAATTTCTTGTTTTGTCTCACACGTGAGCTTTTGGGGGACACCACATTCCTAACCATAAAGCCTCCCAATGTCAAACACCTTACAGCTGGGTATGCAGCTCAGTGATGGAGAAACTGCTGAAAGGGTCAAGGCCCTAGGTTCCATCCTAGGGGCAGGGGGAGCTTTAGAGGGTGGACAAAGTCAAGCAGATTGGGGAGGGAAGAGACAACTTGGAAGATGAGACCAGCCTGGTGAGTTTTGAGGCAATTTTTAAGATGCAAGCCAGAGGACAGGCAAGTACCCCAGCATGAGGCCTGAAGCTGAAACTCAGGAAACTCAATGTCCTCTAGACTAGAGGCCCAGAAGGGGCAGGTCCTGAGTCAACACAATCTCCAGAAGAGAAGGAAAGGAGAGTCACAAAAAAGCAGTCCAAATTCTATACATAAGATTGTCCTGGCTTATCTCTGGATCAGAAAGGGAGAGCAGACTCTGCCGGCTCACAGGAGAGGCTGCGTTCTACAACTGAGCTGCTGCCCACCAGCAGCCCAACAGTGAGCAGAAGGAATCTGACCAGGAGCCTCCCATTAAGACCAAGTCACTTTCAGCCTCTTAGTCTTCTCAGCCAAGGCCATGGATAGAGGGAACAGGGACACCATGTCCTTGAGGCATCTTTCCCATTTGACCGATTTGCAGGCGCAGTGAGCATCACAAAGTGGCACCAGCTCGGAAGCCTGGTTCCTTAGCACTGGACTGCAAGGACAATGGTGTCAGCACCCTGTCTGCCTGACACACACAAAGTACTGGAAAAGGACTGGGCTGTGGCTCAGTGGTAGAGTGCTCGTCTTACATACCTGGGGCACTGGGTTCCATCCTCAGCACCACATAAATAAATAACATAAAGGTACCATGTCCATCACAACTAAAAGAAATTTTAAAAAAGAAAGAAAGAAAGAATGTACTGGAATACAACAAAGGTAAGATGCAGAAGCAAGCAGAAAGAGGAAAGACTTGAAAAACATTTTTTCAAACTATTGAAAAAAGACAAAACTTTTACAGTTTGAAATTAACAGAAGTCCAAATCATAAAAATATAGAATTAAAATGAAAATTTTAAAAGAGGCCATCACAAAAAATCCCAGAAATAAATCTGATGTTATATAAACTGATAAATTTATGAAAAATACAAAGTGTTATAAACTAGTAAAAGAAAGAGACACTGGTTCCAAGTCAAGAAATGGAAAGGGCTACCCAGCCCTAAAAGGCCCAAGATATGGATGAGCCAGACTGCCAAGGACTGGTGACCCTGCCCTGCAGCTCACACCTGGGTGTCCCCAAGTGCTCCAGTGTTTAGAGGCTTGTCCCCAGCTTGGCATTACTGGGAAGCAATAGGAACCTCAGAAGGTGGGGCTCAGTAGGAGGGCTTTAGGTCACTGGGGGAATGCCCTTGAAGAGGATTCTGGGAACTCCCTCCCCCTTTCTTGCATCCTGAGGGCAAGGATTTTGCCATACACTCCCACCTGATGCTCTACCTCACCACAGGCCCCAAAGTAACAGGGCAACCAATTTTGGATGGGAAACCCCCACAGCTGTGAACCAAATAAACCTTTCCTCTTCATTAGCTGATGCTCTCAGGCATTCCTCACAGCAATGGTAAGCTGGCTAATACCAGACTTTATGCATAGTAACTGAAAATTGGTGAAGGGAGATCTTGCCAACTCATTTTAGGAGGTTAGTAAACCTCAACTGCTAATGAACATAATAAATCATATAAACAAAATTATAGGCAAGTTCACTCATAATCAGTGGTGTAAATTTTAAAGGCATCCACATGTATTTAGAAAGAATTCAAGCATGGTGGCAAATGCCTGCAATCCCAGGAACTCTGAAGGCTGAGGCAGGAGGATCACAAGTTCAAGGCCAGCCTTAGCAATTCAGTGAGGCCCTAAGCAACTTAGCAAGCAAGACCTGTCTCAAAACAAAACATAAAAAACTCTGGGGTTGTGGCTCAGTGGTTAAGAACCCCTGGGTTAAATGCCTAGTGCCCCCCACCACCACCACCAATAAAAGAAAAAAAGGAACAAATGGAGGAAGGAAGAAAAACAAAAAACCAAAGTAAGTAAGAAAACGGAGCTTCATCCTGGTGTGGTGCACGTGCCTATTTGCTGCAGTCTGACTGGGCACAAAACCAGGAGGTCACAAGCCACTTGTAGGTTCAAACAGGAACTACTTTATTGCCCGAACCCAAAGGGAACTCTCCAGAACTCCACGGAAACTCCACAAGAACCAACGGGAACTCAACAGGAACTCTGCGAGAACTCAAAAGTAGCGGGCACCCGAGATAGCAGGAGCCACCTTATTGCCGGACAGCAGAGGTTTATATACACAACTGAGTACACAGCTTGTTTCAATTTAGCATCATCCAGTTACAGCAATCAGTCATTATCTTAATAATTATACACAGCTTAACTTAATTACCATCATCCCAATGGCTCACTGGCATCACCTCCCAACCACTCCTTCTGGCAAAATGCCAGGCGCCATCCCAACTTGGCTGTGGCTCTCAACATCTCCCCACTTCTGTTTAATTAAACAAGTATGTGGCTTAGGGACCGTGCCTGTCTTAGGTTGTCCAATACTACATATGGTCCTTACCCGTCATCAGATGAGCTGACCTCAAGGCGTCAGCCTCCTGTCTTAGGTTGGTACCATTGCAATTGGACCTTACCCATCATTGACTACTGGCCCAGCATTTAGCCATACTTGTGGATAGTGGTTTTTACACAAACACCATAAACAACCTGGCGCAAGCAGAAGGGAGGAGGATACAAAATGCCACGATATCAAGCCACTGACAGCTCCTTTTGGAAAAACTGTACCACCAATGATATCATCAGCAGATACCCCGGCACTACCACAATTCGCTACACCAACAGATAGTTCACAATGCATACAAGTGATACATAGTCCAGGCAAGTTCTGCAAGTAGTTCAAAGCAGAGGAATCCATTAATATGTCCATTTCCTCCCAAAGTAAATCAACTCCTTGATTGAGCATTACTTGTTGAGTTCATTATTCATTGATGCATCAGTTTATACAGTTTGTTGTGATAGCTATCACAAAGTCTTTGTCTTCACGGGCACTGGGATGAAGATAGGAATTCTGGCAATGATGGCTAAAAAAAAATTATGTAACATTCCAGCAGGCACTAAAAAAAGCAATTTTCTAAACAATTTAGTATCCTGAATAGAATTAGGTATAATGAAAAGGAAAGGTGAAAGTAAACAAACAGATCTGTTAACCTCCTTTTTTGTTCATATTTTAAAACAATCCTCAACAGCTGTTTACCCAATTTAAAATAAACCATTTAAATTACGTGAATAAAAAAAATATTTGGATCCATTTTTTCATGAGCGCTCCTCATATATGATATATGGACATACGCACACACAGACATACAACACAAAACACAAGTGTGCACACATAACACAATACATGCAACACAAAACATAATAGTAAAGGCCTTGTATTTTTTCACAGGTGAAATCTCCATTGCAATGTTTAAAAACTCCACAGTCAAAAAATAGAACTGATTAGAAAAACATTAACCTAGGTCTGTGTGAGCTCAAAAAATAAAATAGAACTTCATGATGTGGGAGAGGGCAATAATAAAATAGATATTGAAAAAGCATCCTGGTTACCACCTGGGTTTGACTCTTCTTTTGATATCCCATCCTTCTTCCTGTAACTTGCATATGGGTCTGAAGGTATTCCCACAAGCAAGCCCCAAGGTTTTTTTACATTTGAAATAGGCCTTAATGGTGCTCATTATTCATTAGCCTCCAGGTGTGGGAGAACCACTGTCGCAGATGTAAGGATAGCTAAACTGAAGTTCTGGATATCAGCTGTTATGATTTGAGCCAAGTCATCTTCTTTTTGATCTGTAGAAATTGCTTTAGTTAGTCTCTCTGGAATCCAAATCAGCTGCTGTTCTCCCTGTGGAAACACACAAACAGAACCCCGACTCCAGACAATCACTGGGTCAGGACTTTTCCATTGTCCTGTTAGAATATCCTTCCAAAGTACCTTGGGCTTATGTACATTTTTTGGACACATGTGCCTTTCTGCAGCACTAAGCCCTGATGAATCCAAATTTTAAAAGTTTAGAGTAAAAAGAGTTATTTTAAGTTTATCTTTGGGGGATATATACCCCTTCCCAATTACCTCTTTTTGCTTTAACAAGTACATTTTAATAGTTTGATGAGCTCTTTCAACTATGCCTTGTCCCTGTGGATTGTATGGGATTCCTGTTATATGAGTAATGCCAAATGATGAGCAAAATTGCTTAAAAAGAGGTGGAAGTATAGCCAGAGCCATTATCTGTTTTTAACTGTTTTGGAATGCCCACAGTGGCAAAATTTTGTAAGCAACGAGCTATAATATCTTTAGTTTTTTCTCCGGCATGAAGGGAGCCCATCAAAAATCCAGAAGAAGTATCAACTGTAACATGCAAATATTTTAATTTTCCAAATTCTGAAAGTATGTGACGTCCATCTGCCAAATATGGTTAGGTATCAGTCCTCTAGGATTGATTCCAAGATTAACTTGTGGTAAAAAGGTCACACAATTTTGACATTGTTTATTATTTGTCTAGCTTGTTCCTTAGTTATTTTAAAAAGCTTTTTTAAAGAATTTGCATTGACATGGAAGGATTTATGAAAATTTGTAGCTTCTTCTAGCATAGAAAAAATACGTATGTCATGTGTAGTTTTATCTGCTAAATCATTGCCCAAACTAAGGGCTCCAGGCAATTCTGTATGTACCCTGATATGTCCTATAAAGAATGGATCTTTTCTGTCCCAGATTGGACTTTGTATAGTGGAAAACAAAGAGAAAACAGTAGAGGAAGGGGAAATCCTACCAGCATCTTCAAGGGATACTATAGCATTAACTATATACTGACTATTGGAAAATAAATTAAATACAGAATCTTTAAACATCACAAAAGCTTGTAATGCTGCATTAAGCTCTACCTTTTGAGCTGATTGTTTGGGTACTAAAAATGTAAAAGTTTGATCAAGGGTAACTACTGCTGCTGTACCATTATTTGACCCATCAGTGAATATACTTGGAGCATTCATGATATGTGTTTTTCTTGTCATTTTTGGGAAAACTACAGGATGTGAAGACCAAAAAGACAACAAAGGATTAGCTGGTAAGTGGTTATCAAATGAAACATTAGATTTGCACATGATTATTGCCCAAGTATTTAACTCATTAGCTAACTCATCAATTTGATCCATAATATATGGAGTAATAATTTTATTGGGAGAAACTCCAAACACTCCCTTTGCTGCTTTTATTCCTTTGAGTATTAATTGTCCTACAGCCTAAGGATACCTAGTAAGAATAGTGTTAGGAGAATAAGATAAATGTATCCATAATAATGGACCTTCTTGCCAAAACACTCCTGTAGGAATATTTTTTGTTGGTAGTACAATAAATAATAAAGGCAAACTTATATCAATTCCATCCAAATGCATATTTTCCATATATGTTTCAATGATTTTTAATGTCTTTCTTGCTTCAGGCGTTAACATGCAGGGTGAATCTGGATCTGATGGACCTTTTAGGATATCAAATAAAGGTCCCAACTCTCCTGTTGGTATGCCTAGATAAGGCCTTATCCAATTTATGTCTCCTAATAACTTTTGAAAGTCGTTAAATGATTTGAGTTGATCTACTCGTATTTGAATTTTTGGTGGACGGACCATGGTTGAGGATAATAGAACTCCTAAATAATTAATTGGAAAATTTAATTGTACTTTATCTATTGCTATCTATAGATTATAATTTTTAATAAGTTTGTAAGTGTGGCAAAACATTTTAGCAATGTGTTTTTATCTTTGTGTGCTAATAATACATCGTCCATATAGTGAAATATTTGTAGTTCAGGATTTTGATTTCTAAGTGGCTGGATTGCTTTGTTAACATAAATTTGACATAGTTGGGCTGTTAGCCATCCCTTGAGGGAGTACTTTCCATTCATATCTGATCAGGACCTTCATGATTCAATGCAGGGACAGTAAATGCAAAACGTGGATTATCCTCAGGATGAATTGGAATTGAAAAAAAAAAAAAAAAACGATATTTAATACCTATAACTAAAACATACCAGGTTTTCGGCAAAGCAAACAATTGAAGAATCCCCGATTGAGCAGGTTCCATAATAACCATCTCATTATTAATGGCTCTTAAATCTTGCAATAATCTCCATTTACCAGATTTCTTTTTGATGACAAAAATGGGAGTACTATAGGGAGATAAGAAGGTTGTATATGTCCCTCCGCTAATTGTTGTTTGACCAGGTCATGGGTTGCTTGTATCTTTTCTTTAGTCAGGGGCCACTGAGGAACCCATACTGGTCTTTCTGATTTCCAAGTAATTTTTATTGTCTCAATGACCCCTCCTGAAAACCCAATCCATGTCTATTTCTTGATCTATTTGCAATGGTGCCACTATACTTTGTCCTTTTTCTCCTAATCTTTTTCCTTTCCTAAAACCTTGTCTAGCCATAATAGTGGGCGCACTTGATGTTATTTGTTAATGTTAGTCCTAAATGATCTAGGATATCTCGTCCCCATAAATTTATAGGAAGATGATCCAAAACATATGGCTGTATAGTTCCTTCACATCCTTCAGGATCCTTCCAATCTAATACCATCACACTTCTATGGGGGATTAGTTGCCACTCCTAGGCCTCGAAGCGTTTGAGTGGCTTGTTGTAACGGCCAATGTTTTGGCCATTCTTGATGAGAGATGATGCTAAGGTCTGCACCTGTATCCAGTAGCCCATTAAATTCATGTCCTTGAATATTTAGTTTTAGCATGGGGTGAGAATCTAAATTTAAAGAAAGCATAGCCCAATCTACACCTGTGGAGCCTAATCCCCTGGAACCTCTTTCTATAGTACAACTGGAAAATTTATCATGTAGGCTGGGTATTATTAATAACTGTGCTATTCTATCTCCTAGTGAAATTACTGATATACCCCTTGGCGAACTGGCTATAATTTTTTTTTCACTTTCATAATCGGGATCAATTACCCCAGGACTTATCATAAGTCCTTTTAGAGTAGAAGAACTGAATCCTGATAATAAGCCTACTAATCCTTGGGGAAGAGGTCCTTTTACCCCTGTGGGAATGATTTGAACTCCATCTCTGGAGTTAGTACTGCTCTGGCAGAGGCGCAGATGTCCAACCCTGCGCTCCCTCTGGTTTGTCTAATGAGGGATCTAATGGACAATGTGTCCTGGGCACTACCCTGATGGTGTTGCTGGGTTCCTCCAATGCCCCGTATATTTGTAGTCGTGGGCCCCGGAGCATTGGGCTCCCCTGTCCGTTTTTTGGCAATAGAGCCCAGTGTTTTTCTCCACGATATCGTGGGTAAACACCTGGTCCTTGTCCGTTTTTTGATAACGGAATATCCTCTATAGTGGTTTGAGAACGGCATTCATTAGCCCAATGTCTCCCTCTATGGCACTGTGGGCAAATACCCAATATTCTACCCCTTTGATACCTAGTTTTGTTAAACCCTCCTCCTATGGGGCAACTCCTTTTAAAATGTCCTGTTTGTTCACAATTGTAGCATGTTTTTGGCCTGGCACCTAAGCCTGTTGTACTGCAGCTGCCAAGACTTGCCCTTGTTCATTAATGTCTCTGCATAATTTAATATATGTGTTTAAATCTCCATGTTTCCATGGTCTAATGGCCTCCCTGCACCACCTGTTTGCTTGTTCGTAGGCTAGTTGTTTTATTAATGGCATCGCTTGTTCTACATCCCCAAAGATTCTGGTAGCTGTTTGTATAAGCCTATCTACAAATTCAGCGTAAGGTTCGTTAGCTCCTTGTATTACCTTAGATAATTGACCTTGTAAATCTCCATGCCCCTGTAATGTTTTCCATGCCCTAACCGCAGCTGAAGCGATTTGTGAGTATATGGCAGGATCATATCTAATTTGTGCAGCTGACCCTCATAAGGTCCCTTTCCTAACAACATATCTAGATTTCTCTGAGGATAACCGGCTGCTGCATTTCACCTGGCCATCTCCGTGCAAAATTCCTGATTGGCAATCTTCCATAACAGATATTGTCCTCCATTTAGCACAGCTTTGCACATACTAGCCCAATCTGCTGGCGTCATGTTCAAGTTGGTAATGGATTCGACCATACTTACAGTGAAGGATGCTTGAGGACCATAGGTTGTTACAGCCTCTTTCAGCTGTTTCACTGTTTTGAAATCTAAAGCATGGTGAATTCGCTGCCCTCCTGCCTCCTCAAATGCAGGGCATGCTAATCTTTGAGGTCCTGTCTCAGGATCCCATCTATCAACTACGGGGGTTGAGGGCCACTCAGCATATGTTGTCTCCGTATACATAGGTGGAGCTATTGGTTGGACACCCACGCCCTCCGGTGATAGAAAGGTGTTAGTAGCAATCTCCCGTTGTAACTTCTTCCCTTATAGCCCTTCCTTCTTTAAACTTTCTTCCCCTGAGTAACTCAGGAGACTTCCTCTTTTAAGATGTCTTCTCCTAGACTAAGCAAACAAGATCGTACCAACGTCCATAATGGTAATGTGCCAACTGGCAGAGTTCCTGGGCTTTCCTTTTCTATCTTTTTTAAATCTTCACCATGATGGTTCCATTGTGATATACTTAACAACCCCTCCTTAAGAAACCATGGGCTAAATTTTTGTGTCGTATCAACGTATGCCCTAACTGTTCTTGGTTTTACTGGGGTTCCTCTTTCCTCTAGCAATTTACTTAAAACTCTTTCGGTTTGTTTTTTACTAATTTCTGATGCCATATTTCTGCTACAAAGATAACGCAACCCAACAAGATAACACAAAACAAAACCAAAACAAAACGGAACAAAAATTCGTTGTATCAGTTTTTCTATTTTCTTGACATATGCAACTGTGGTCTATCTCTATCTCTTCCTCAAGGCTGAACAACTTTTCTAGCATCCTATTTATTTCTAAGGGCAGGCAGCTTGAAACAGAAACGTAACAAATCAAAAGAAGAATACACTGTCTCTTAAAATGGTCACCCATCCTCTTGTCCTGCCCTCAGGGGCGAGCAGTTCCCCGTACGGGCCACCAAATGCCACAGTCTGGCTGGGCACAAAACCGGTAGGTCATGAGCCACTTGTAGGTTCAAACAGGAACTACTTTATTGCCCAAACCCAACGGGAACTCTCCAGAACTCCACGGAAACTCTGCGAGAACTCAACAGTTGCAGGCACCCGAGGTAGCAGGAGCCGCCTTATTGCCGGACAGCAGAGGTTTATATACACAACTGAATACACAGCTTGTTTCAATTTAGCATCATCCAGTTACAGCAATCAGTCATTATCTTAATAATTATACACAGCTTAACTTAATTACCATCATCCCAATGGCTTCCTGGTGTTACCTCCCAACCACTCCTCTGGCAAAATGCCAGGCGTCATCCTGACTTGGCTGTGGCTCTCAACACCTATTTCCCAGCTACGTGGAAGGCTGGTGCAGGAGGAGCACAAGTTTGAGATCAGCCTGGACAATGTACTGAGTTGCTGTCTCCAAATAAAAATACAAAGACTAAGGATGTAGCTCAGCAGTAGAGCACTCATGGTTTTCAATCTCCAGTATAAAACCCAAAGAAACGGGGTGGGGGAGGGTAGAGATAGCCAGAGGCAGGCAGGCAGGCAGGCAGGCAGGGATTAGGGTGAGGTCAGGAGACACTTGCCTTGGGGCATAAAAGTAGAGAACGTTTTTTTAAAAAACTCAAAACATGAAGATTTACCTGGGCACAGTGGTCCATGCAGGTGAGTGGAGCGATTCAGGAGACTGAGGCAGCAGCACCACAGGTTTGAAGCCAGCCTTGGCAGCTTAAGACAGACCCAGTTTTAAATTTTTTTTTTTTTGAGGGAGAATTTTTTTTAATATTTATTTTTCAGTTTTGGGCAGACATCTTTTATTTGTATGTGGTGCTGAGGATCAAACCCAGAGCCACACACATGCTAGGCGAGCGCACTACCACTTGAGCTACATCCCCAGCCCGAGTTTTAAAATTTTTAAAAAATGTTTTAAAGGATTGGGAATATAACTCAGTGAGGTACCCCTAAGTAGAATCCCCAGTACCAAGAAGAAAAAAAGGGTTAACGTAATAAAAAGGGACAAAACTATATTAAAAAATGATACTAATGATCACAGGGAAAGAGAGACTATACAATGTTCCACTCACCAGGTGGAGGTGTCCACTACCTACCACTCACCGGATAGAGGTGTCCACCCTGCTACCACTCACCAGGTAGAGGTATCCACCCCCTACCACTCACCGGGTATAGGTATCCACCTTCTATACGAAGACGTGACTATCCACCACCATTACTGACATGGCTCCCTGGCCACCAAGCCCTGCAGCCAGCACACTGTCCCTGCTGAGAAGGGGTAGGGGAGCAGTGAAGTGGCAGAGTGGTAGCTATGTGGGCAGCAAGCACAGGCTGCCATGAGGAGTCTGTCATGCCAGGGCTGGGGATATAGCTTTTATCCCTAGTATCATTGGATGAACTTCAAGACAAGCCTCTAGGTCTCTCACTGATCTGAGGTGTAGAACTGACTTTTCAAGAGTGGACATGTCCATATGCACACAGTGTCCACTCAAAGATGTGACAAGCTCCAAATCCTGTGAATAGAACATAACTCCCCCAAAGAAGCTAGCACTGCACCAACTTTCCCCACTTCCTGTCAATTTCCTCACTAAGCATCCAACAGGGAGGCCCCCGGCCTCCTTACCAGTCCATTAAGCCTTAAAGCTAAAACATTGAACAAAAAAGCTTTTTGGCCCTTATTTGGTCCTTAGCTGTGGTACATGACCTGTGAAGCCACCTGAGTTTCTTTTACTCAGTACTGAGCCATGGAGAACTTGGGTCTCCCCTTGGGAATGATCCCGGAATTCCCGTGTGCAGACTGCCCAAGGCGTGAGATCTGTTCCCTACTCTACCAATGGGACAGCTCTGTAGCTCTGGAATTGGGAGTAACCCACTGGGTTTGGACAGCCCACCTCCTGCCTTATTTGGTGAAGAACATTCTGTTCCCTAAAAGTGGCTTGCTTGGTCTATTTCCAGTGTAGAAGGTGGACCCCTAAGGTCATAGAGCCGTCCTGCCCTCACTTTTCAAAATTACTCTTGTGCAGTGTGGTTTCTTCACCACCCTCTTTTCTTAGCTTTATTTCACAGCCAGTTCATTCCACGCAGAACTCCCACTCCCACTCGACCGCCTGCATGGGACATGGGCAAGACTTAGCTTAAAAAATAAAGCTGCCCAAAGGAGCTTTTCTTTTTGCAGAAGCCTGGTGCCACTCACTGTCCTGGCTTCTGCACACCTGAGGCCTCAAGAACACATTCACAGGTGATATGACCGTCTTCACAGGAAACTAACAGGATCTACCAAAAAAGAGCCTGTGACAGGGCTCTGATGCTTCATCTAGGTCTGCAAATGTCTGATGGGTGGCTAAAGGCAGGCCTAAAGACCTTGTTCCAGGTGGGGTGGCTACACCTGTAAGCCCTGCTACTCAGGTAGCTGAGGCAGCAGGATAGCAGATTCAAGGCCAGCCTGGGCAACATAATGAGACCCCCCCTCAAAATAAAATCTAAAAAGGGCTGATGAGGATGTGGCTAGGTGATAGCATGCCCCTGGATTTGATCCCTTGCAGCGAGTCATACACTCATACACACACACACACACACACACACACACACACACACACACAGGGCTTGGCCTCTCTACCTCCACTTTGCATCCATCCCATTTGCTCTGAGCTACCTGGGATTCCAGGAACCAGGTCTGACAAACATCTGATGAGTTAAGACTGCCTCCAGGCAATAGCAACTTTCTAATCTTAGACAAGACCCCACCACCACCACCAATCCTGAGACACACTGAACTCACCTGATCAAGATGATCAGCAACTTGCAAGGCCCTGTCTCAAAAAATAAAAAGGGCTGGAAATGCAGCTCACAGATAGAGCACCCTGGGTTTGATCCTCAGTACTGCTAAACCAAACCAAACCAAACCAAACCAACAGGGCTAAGGACACAGGTCCCCGTCTCCTAAATGTAGCTGTTCTGATGAAAGCTCCTTTGTGTGCGTCACCACTGCCTTTTCTGCTTGGTTTGGGGTAGTGGCCAGACCAGATCTGTGGGATCCTTGGTCAGGCCTCTGGCCCAGACTCTGTAAGACTACTAGAACATGTGAGGCTAGTAAGGGTGCAGGGTGCAAAACCCTACATACAAACATGCACCATGTTTCCGTAAACTAGCAACAGATACTCAGAAGCTAGAATTTCACTTGCAATCCAAGTGAAATCCTTAGAAACAAAAGATGTGCAAGACTGATACAATGGAAAATACAAAATGGTACTGACACATTTTAAAGGAACCAAAATAAACATATATACCACATTCACAAGACCAGCGTTGATTCTCCCTACATTCGCGTTGATTCTCCCTACATTCCCGTTGATCCACAGATTCAACACAATCCCAGCCAAAATGCCAGAAGAGCTTTTTTTTCTAAGTTTATATGGAAATGCAGAGGATCTAAAATACCAAAACAACTTTGTTGAAGAACAAATTTGGAGAACTACCACTGCCTGATTTCAAGACTTAGTCTGAAGTTTTCATAATCAAGACAGTGTGGGGGCATTGGTGTTGTGGCTCAGGAGTAGAGCACTTGTCTAGCCTGTGCGAGGCACTTGGTTAAATCCTCAGCACCACATAAAAATAAATAAAAGTATTTTAAGAAAAGACAATGTGGTACTGGCATAAAGCTAGATGAATATAACAAGACAGAAACCTCCAGAAATGAAATCACACATGTATGGACAATAGATGGCTAAGGTTCAAGAGCAGTTCAGTGGAGATAGTCTTCTCAACAAATGGTATTGGAACAATTGGACATTCATGTATTTTGTTTTTAAGATCGATGACTTTTTAATTGTATAATCTGATGGTTATAATGGGCATCTTCTTTCTCTCTTTACAGTGCTGTGGACGGAACCCAGGGACTTGTGTATGTTAGGTAAGTGCTCCACCACTGATCCACCTCTCAACCCAACATCTTGTTTTAATTCAGATTCTTCAGATTACTGAATCCAGCATCTGGCATGCTTCTGTGCACTGCCTCATCTTTTCCCCTTTTCTCTGCTGGATCTCCTGCCTTTTTCTCGTTGGTTTAGAGGCATTCCTTTTGTGCTTCTGTGCTGAGGATCGAACCCAGTGCCTCACACATTTTCTTTCTTTTATCTAACAATTAACAAAAATAGCACTCCAGCCTTGGCTTTGTAGCATTTGCCCGATTTCCAAGGTGTAAGTTCTTCCACATTGCCAAGTTCCAACTTCCAATTGGACATCACCGACAATGGAGCAGTGTAGAGATGCGCAGTCGCATCTATCTGTATGTCCACCTCTACTTACCAAAGACAGAGAGGCCACCAAGATGGGGATAGAATCTGTCAGGTGGGCAGCGGGGACTCAGGAACAAAGGAAGAAACGTCAAGCAGGCGCCCACGGAAACGCCTATCGATCAGCGGGATCTCCTGGCTGACCTGTCAATCAGCGGATCTCCTGGCTGACCTGTCAATCAGCGGGATCTCCTGGCTGACCTGTCAATCAGCGGATCTCCTGGCTGACACGTCAATCAGCAGGGTCTCGTGGCCAATCCTGGAGTTCAGCCAGTTCCCAGTGGGACAAGGGACCCTAAAAATCCCTTTTCCTGTCCCAAGCCCTCCCTTCCTGCCGAAGGCCCCATAAAATCCCAGCCCTGTGGAGGCCCTACGGTTTCTGCTCAGACCCTTGTCCTGTCAACTCTGACGGTCTGACCGCGGTCCGCCCGGAGTGGGCTCCATAAAGCCTCCTTCAGCGGCCTTTTTAAAACCTGCCTCTTTTGGTCGCCGCCCGTTGCCTGACCTCACAAAATAAAGTAAAATACTTAAAAGAAAAGAAAAAAAAAAACACGAGCCCGGGCCTCAGGTAGCTCGGGCAGACCGTGGGGCGGGGACCAACACTTCCCAAGGCCCAGGGCGGCCCTGCCGGCCGCGGGCTGGGCGCCACGCCACTCCCCAGAGCAGACGGAGCGAGACAGTCCTGCCGTTTACAAGGCGCTGGGGACCCAGCCCAGGGGCGCCACTCCGGGCTGCACCCCAGGCCCTTCTATTTTCATTTCAAGACAGGGCCTCGCTAAGCTGATGAGGCTGGCCTCCAACCTGCCATCCTCCGGCCTCGGCTTCCCAAATCGCTGGGCTGACAGGACCACGGCGGCCTGGGCAGTCTGCGCTCGGCGACAGGCTCGCAGGGTTCCTGAACACGCGACGCGAGCCCGCGGGGCGGCTGGGCGGACGCTCTGAAAGACACCAGAAGCTGGGCCTCAGCCGGCCAGCGCAACCTCCCCTCGGCGCACGCCAGGCGGAACGCGGGACACCGGCCGGCGCCGTCAGTCACGCGGCGCGACGGCCTCTCAGCAGAACGTCATCTCCCGGCGCCGCCACGATGCGATACGGAAGCCGACGAGCCTCGCCGCGTCGTTCCGTCACTCAGACTCTCGGACTTCGCCCCGAAGCCGCCCGAAGGCGCGGCCGCCACCAGCTGCGCTCGCTTGCCCGCCCGAGGCCCCGCCCCGCGCCCGCGGGCGCCGCCATGTTGGGGGTCCTCGCCGGGGGCGCGTAGGCGTCCTCATAAGATGCCGGCCCGGGCGCGCGGCGGCCCCCAAGATGGCGTCCATGCGGGAGAGCGACACGGGCCTGTGGCTGCACAACAAGCTGGGCGCCACGGACGAGCTGTGGGCGCCGCCCAGCATCGCGTCCCTGCTCACGGCCGCCGTCATCGACAACATCCGCCTCTGCTTCCACCGCCTCTCGTCGGCCGTGAAGCTCAAGTTGCTGCTCGGCACACTGCACCTCCCGCGCCGCACGGTGGACGAGGTGAGGCGGCCGGCCGCGCTCGCCCGGCCCGCGCCGCTCCTGCCCGCCCTCTCGCCCCCGGGGACCGCCGCCCGCACCCCGTCGTCTTCCTCGACCCTCCCTCCGCCAGCTCCCCCGTCCCCCCCGCACCCCGTCCTCTCCCCGTTTCCCCGCACGTTCTCCCCCATACCCCGTCCAACAGATGGACCGCATCCTTCCCCGCACTCCTTCCTCCCGCTGGACCCCGTCCTCCCCCGCTGGACTCCGTCCTCCCCCCCAGACCCTCCCGCCTGCGCCTTCGTCGGTGGAGGTGGGAGTCGCCCCTGCGGTCGGGGTCGTGGAGGCGACCCCTGGCGGAGGTGCCGGGCCGCTGCGGGCTGCGGGGCGCCCCGCGGAGGCCCGCCCCGTCGCCGGTCGGGCGTGGGCGTGCGGGTTTGCCTGGCGGCTGTCATTGCGTCGCTCTCCGCGCAGAATACTGAAGCGCCAAGGTGGTCTCTCCAGGCAATGTCGCCTGGATGTCGCCTGTGCGCAGTCGTAGGTCCTAAGTGGCCCCTCGTGAGCTGTGGGCACGCGAGCCCGGCTGTGGCTGTGGGTTAGGGTCGGCCGCCGGGCCCCGCCCTCCTCCGAGCTCCTCCTCCCGCGGCCGGTGGCTGCCTTCGCCCCTTTCCAAACGGGAAGTTCCCTCGTGCCTAGTGGGAACCTAGTGTCGCGGTATCAGGGGGCTCACTTGGCGTGTGTCCTGGTGGCACGCTGGCGGATTCGTGCGTGGTGCACCTTCCCAAGACCCGGCATGCTCCCCCTGCCACCTCAGGGAGGCACTGAGGCCCTGCCGTGCTCTTGTGCTCTTGTGAGTGGTGCAGTCGCCCACATCGACCCTGGTCGGGGGACTCCTCACAGTACAGTGCTCAGGAGCAGGTGTGGGGGTGTTAGGGTTATGCCAGGTTGTTTTTAGAGTGATTGTATCTAATAGTGCTTCTCTCCAAAGCCTGTCCCTTGTGTTGGTATGAGCATATTACTAGATGGTTTAATTTGTATCTGCGTTATCACTGATTTGGTTAAACGTTTTTTCATGAGTTTATTTGCTGTTTGCTTTTCTTTTTGTGAATGTTCAAAACTTTTTCCTGGTTGTCTTTTTTCATTGCTTTGTAGCAGGTGGAGGGTTTAATAAATGCTGGGTGCCGTCCCTGACGCAGCGGCATAGGATCCAGCATCTCCCAGCTGCGGCTCCACTTGCTTGCATCTGTGGTTGGGCAGAAGCTCTTGTGTGCAGCCACTCTGGGTGCTGGTCTGGCCCTTTTGGAAGGGCACCCCACCGAAGCCAGGGCCCAGCCCTTTCCCTTGGCAGAGCTGTGTGGCTGTGTCCTTCTTCTGATGCCTTCGGTTTGCCCGGAGTTGTCAGCTGGTGAAGCTGGGTGTGGTTTTTCCATTTCCACAAAGGTGTCCAGATGAGTGTCCAGTGCTACTGATTGCAATGACTGTCCTTTTCTGTGCGCTCACAGTCACTCTGCTGTGGGTCTTTTCCCGCCTCTGCTCATGAGCATTTGTGTATTGCTGTGCTTGTTCTAAGTCAGTTCCTATTCTGGGCAGCTAACCAACAGGGCAGACTCTCCTACTTTGTTCCTCAGGTATGTCTTTGACTTCTCCCAGCCTTTGCACTTCATTATGTGCCTCAACTCATGGATCTACTAATAACAATTTCACTTTCTGTTACTGGTATATACAACTGTAGATATCAGCTTTTAGATAATGAGTTTGAATCACATACATGTTGGAAGTATCATTAACTGCAATACTTTTTCTGTAGAATCAATTTTTCTGTGAGCTTAACATGGATATCTTTTCTTCTCTGGTCACCAGAAATCTTTTGTACATTCTTATTCTGATCACACAATAAGAACTTTGAATGTTTTGACAATAAGATTTTTGTTCCTGTTTTCTCATGGACATGCCCTTTATCTGGTCAAGGAAATTCTTTTTTTGTTGTTCAAGAATTTATTTTGCAGGGCTAGAGCCTGTAAAAACCCAGGGCCTCACACATGCTAGGCGAGTGCTCTAAAAATGAGGTACATCCCCAGCCCAAGGAGATTTTTTATATTCCTAGGGAGTTTTTAAAAAATTCTTTTAATTATGAATGAGATGTTTGTTTTGTTTTTCCTTTTCCTGATAAGGAGTCTTGCTCCATTGCTCAGTGGATTAGTAAACTTTTTTTTCTTTTTTAATTTCTTTAGTTTTAGGTGGACACAGTACTGTATTTGACGTTTATGTGGTGCTGAAAACCGAACCCAGGACCTCACATGAGCCACCTCCCAGCCCCACAGTAAACTTTTTCATTGTTGTGACTAAAGACCTGACAAGAACAACATAGAGGAGGAAACGTCTGTTGGGGTTCATGGTTTCAGAGATTCAGTCCAGACTCCATCATTCTGGACCTGAGGTGAGGCAGAACCTCATGGCTCAGAACTTCAAAGGATGTGGAGAGGAGAGCCACTCAGGACATGGCACCCTGAAGCAGCAAGAGAGGTCTGCTCACCAGAGACTAGATGTAAGCCCCAAGGGCACACTCCCAGGGACCTACCTCCTGCAGCCACACCCCACCTCGATGGCTTTCCCAGAGGATGAGGGGATGGGTTCCCATGGGAGGGATGGGCTGGCTGCAAAATAAAAACCATGAAAGTAGAACCACCAAATAGACATGAAAGACCAGAAATGTATTTTTCAGAGCAAGGGCAGTAACGGGTTAGGCTGACTGGAGTGGTAGGCTTCTAGCAAAGACGGAGCCTGCTTGCTTTATTTATAGCGGACAGATCCCAGGGGATGGGTAGGTTCTAGGTTTCAGTGTGGGCCCCCTCAGGATCCGGGTGGGGTGAGCAGCCTGTTGGGCTCTTCCTAGGCCATGCCCATCTCCAGGGCTGTGCTAGACTGGAGCAGTGAGCTAGGTAGGACGCAGTGTGAACCAGGGGTTCTCAGCCCACTGAAGAGTTCCTGATGCCAGGCTTTCCTGCCTGATGGCTCCAGCATCACTCAGTCCACGGATTCACAATGGCTCCCCACACCCACCTGCCTGTAGTCACACCCAATTAATCTATTCAAGTGGAGACACTGAGTGGGCTAAAGCTTTTGCATCTATTCATTTCACCTTTAAACTTCCTTGCATTGTCTCACCCTTGAGCTTTGGAGGACACCTCAGATCTAAACCATGTCACCCAGGCTGGTCTTCAGTTCCTGCATCCAGGTGATCTTTCTGCCTCAGCCTCCTGACTCCTGGGACCCAGTCATGCACAATCACACCCAGCTTGAATGAGGTTTTTGGTTTTGTTTTTGTTTTGGGGAGGGCACTTAGCCCCCAGCTCTTTATTTTGTATATTATTTAGAGACAGGGTCTCACTGAGTTGCTTAGTGCCTCACTAAGTTTCTGAGACTGACTTTGAACTTGTTAGCCTCCTGCCTTGGCCTCCCAAGCCACTGGAATTAACAGGCATGTGCCACCACACCCCGCTTTGAGCTTTTTGTTGTTGTTTTAACCACTTTATTGAGATACAGTTCACATGCCATGCAGTTCACCATTGAAGATGTTGAGGGAATGATTTTTAGTGATTCGGAGAGTTAATCATCCTAATCAACATTTCCATTATCCCCCGTCCCAAATAATTCTGTCCTCGGTGCAGTTCCCCACAGTCCTTTTCCCTCCTAGTCCTAACCTAGAGCTGCGTGTTCTGTACATTTCACATAAATGGAATCACACAGCGCATAGCCCTCCTTTTGGTTTTGTGGTACAGGGGATGGAACCCAGGTGCACTCCCGTGCTCCTGCCTCAGCCTCCCTTCTTTTGGTTTTACTCTGGTTTCTGTCAGTTGCCCAGGCTGACCTGGAACGTGCATCCTCCTGGCTTGGCCTCCGGTGCTGGGAAGGCAGCAGCTCGTGGTCTTTACTGGACTCCTTTCTCTGAACAAAGTGCCTTCTAGGTTGGTACCCATTGTGGCAGGTGTTGGTGCTGTGCTCCTCTAATGCTGAGTGGACCGCGCGTCTGTCCACTGCGCAGCAGATGGGCTTGGGGGCTGTTCCCACTGGCAGCTATTGTGGGTGGTGCTGCTGTGAGCGCACCCGGTAGGGTTTTGTCTCCTTGGTCTGTGCCTGGGAGTGGGGCTGCACTTCTGTGGTGAGTCTCGGGTTTTAGGGAATCGCCACACTGCCCTCCATAGTAGCACCACCACATTAACAGAATAACTTTCATTATAAACCAAAGCTGTATTCCTGACCCCTAAGCTGGTTACTTTCTGTTACTGGGTTCCATTGTCCTGCTAACATGTGTAGGAATTTTGTATCTACGCTCATGGGTAGAATCCACCTGTAGTGTAACTTGCCAGACGGTCTTTGTCAGATTTTTGTGTTGAGGGAATGAATGCTCCTGCCTGTATAAAATGATTTTAATGCATCCTCTATTTTCCTCTTTTTAAAAAATATTTATTTATTCATTTATTTTAGTTGTAGTTGTCAGAACCTTTATTTTTTTTATGTGGTGCTGAGGATTGAACCCAGGGCTTCTCGTGTACCAGGCAAGCGTTCTACCGCTGAGCCACAACCCCAGCACCCCCCCTCTTTTTTTTTTTTTGTATTGAGGATTGAACCCCACAGCCACATCCCCAGCTCTTTTGTATACTTTATTTAGAGACAGGGCCTCACTAAGTTACTGAGGCTGGCTTTGAACTTGAAATCCTCCTGCTTCAGCCTCCTAAGCCACTGGGATTACAGGCGTGTGCCACCGCACCCAGCTGCATCTATGAAGTTTTGATACATGATAATTCCTTCACTGACCCCTGTGTAAATTAGAAATGTTTCTCAATTTCCGTACATTCAAGAGCAACAGATTTTTGTTATGTTTTTATTAGTGATTTCTAGCTATAGTGAACTCTTGTCAGAAAATAGTCCAAATTATTTCATTTGCCTGAAATGAGATTTGCTTAGTGACAGAATATATGGTTAGTTTTTGTAAATGTTTGTGGGTGGCTTTAGAAGCATGTTTATTCTGTTAGTTTTAAAATCCTTTGCTGGGGCTGGGGATGTGGCTCAAGCAGTGGCGCGCTTGCCTGGCATGCGTGCGGCCCGGGTTTGATCCTCAGCACCACATACAAACCAAGATGTTGTGTCCACCAAAAATTAAAAAATGAATATTAAAAAAAAAAAAGATCCTTTGCTGAATATACATATGTTCATTAGATCAAACTTGCTTAATTGTGCTCAACTCTGTTCTGAATTTTTTTTTTAAATTCAGAGACGATCTGTTCATATCCCCATTATGATGATTATGAATTTGTTCCTCCTTATCAGCTACTGCTTTATGAATTTGGGGCTATGTTATTAGGTGCATGCAAATTTAGAGTTAAACGTTTGAGTTGCTTGGTGAAGTGAACCATGGTCTGTGTGCAGAGATCTGTTGTGTCTAGCATTAGGACAGGCATGTCAGCTTTCTTTGTATGTATATATGTATGTATGCACATAGACTTCTTTTTTGGATTTCGCCAATGTTTAAGAAATGAGGGACTGGGATTGTGGCTCAGTGAGAGCACTTGCCTAGCATGTGTGAGGCACTAGGTTTGATCCTCAGCACCACATATAAATAAATAAAAAATAAAGGTACATCAACAACTAAAATATATTCTTAAAAAATGATAATGAAGACCTTATTTACTTAGATTGTGAGAGAACTAGCCATTCTGAACAATATATTTTCCTGAAAACCACTTTTATTTTTTTTTTTTTTGGTATTAAAAAATCTTTCTGAATTATCCTCGTTCCATTGTCTAGCCTATCCTTCTTTTCTCAGTCCTATAAGGGTTTGAGACCTTAGGAATATCACCCTGAAAATGAATCCTTTCTGCAAGGGACCATAGGTCTAGCTGATGAGTGACTTGGCTGGATGTGTTCCCCATTGTGTCAGGGTTCTTCTGAGAAGCTGAGGATGCAGGGTGTTGGTGCACACCAGGGACTTGAGCCAGGCAGAGCCCGTGTTCTGGCCCAGGTCTGAAGGCTGGGACAGTCCACCTCGTACAGTCCAGTAGAAGGGCACATCCTCTTTCGTAGCTTTTTTCTTATTCTGTTCTCCCCACTGTTTTTGAGATGGAATTTCTCTTGGTCACCTAGTCTAGCTTTGAATTCCTGAAGTGAGGCAGTCTTCCTGCCGCAGCCTCCCAAGTAGCTGGGACTACAGGTGTCTACCACTTTACCTGGCACCCCCCCCTCACTTTTTATTCAGGTCTTCAGCTGATTGGATGAGGTTTGTCCACATTCAGGATGACAATCCACTTTGCTGTGTACTGTTCCAAACGTTAATCTCATCCAGAAACATTCTCACGTACACACCCAAGATAATGTTTGACCTGAATATCTGGCTGGCATATGAGTGTAATTCTAGTGATATGGGAGGCTAAGTCAGGAGTATCACACACTGGAGGCCAGCCTCAGCATCTTAGTGAATCCCTGTCTCAAAATAAAAAGTGTTGGGGGTGTAGCTCAGTGGTAAAGTGTCCTTGAATTTGCTCCTCAGGACAACAGAAGAAAAAATATATACACAGGATCTACTATAACCTGTTTCTGAGTGAAATCTTGGAACCAGTTCACTTATTTTGTGATGTATCTGTGGGTTTTTTTGTTTCGTTTTGTTCTGCTTTTTTTTCTTTTTTTAAGAAATACTGTTGCCGCAGTCTGGCTGGGCACAAATGCCGCAGTCTGGCTGGGCACACAATCACGAGCCACCACACAGCTTGTAGATTCAAACAGCAACTCTTTATTCCCGAACTCACACCAGCCGTCTACAATCACGTTCAGGGGAAATCCACGTTCTCTGCCCAAATCCCCTCCACTGGGCTTCTATCTCCAAAATATACTGTCTGAATCCCGTGAGAACTCAAGGGGAACTCAGGCAGCAGGATACGCCCTATTCCCAGCAGGAATAATCTTAAACCTTAAACCTGGAACCTAAACTGGGAACGCCCTAAACACGATTATCTTAAAACCGGGAACACCCTAATCTGCCTTGGTCCTTGAGCAAGGTCACGTACATTCAATGTCACTGCAACATGGGGTACGCTGGCAAGGAAATTGTCATACCTACTTACTTGGCTAATGGCTCCCAGCATACTGTAATAGAACTTTTACTTTTTTAAACATCTGTTTTTTAGTTAGAGGTGGACACAATATCTTTATTTTATTATTTATGTGGCGCTGAGGATCGAACCCGGTGCCTCACGCATGGTAGGCAAGTACTCTGCCACTGAGCTGTTCCCCATCCCTAGTCTTAAAAGCTAGTGAGCAGCCACTTTCAGCCAGTAGAGGGAGCTCGTTCAGCAAGGGGCACAGCAGCAACGTGGGGCCCTTTGTTGTGTGCTGGGGTGGAACCCCTCTTGCCAAGGGAGGTGGGGGGTTTCTGCAGATGACCAGGCACTGCCTGAATGAAGTTCAGGCTGTGTTTGAAAGGGCTTTGAGGAAATAGGGGCTGCTACCGGATGAGACCAGCGGTCCCTCCAACCTTCAGCGTGGCCCCAGAGC